AGTACGAGTCTGAGCTGTGTAGTGAAATACCAAATACATTAAAAAGGGGCCTGCCCCTTAGCTCAGCTCTTTAAGTGGCTGCTTCAACAAAGCAGTCAGGTTCAGGTTGCTGTGGTTCGATCCCCACAACACAAGCCAGCCAGTCATGCCTTGAAGGCATTTGGAGCAAAAAAAAAAAAACAACACTTCTGCCAAATACATTAAAAAATAATAAATAACATAAAATAATTTTAAAAGGAAGAAGGTAGTAAATGATAAGATGGAAGAGTTATCTGACCAGTCTGTGTCCTCCTGTGTGGACACCTGCTAACTACTCTAGGAGGTTCTGGACATCACAAGGCTGTTGCTGGCTGAACTGGAGAAAGAGCCAAGTGGTGAGATCGAGGAGAAGACTGGGAAGCTAGAGCAGCTGAAGTCCGTGTTGGAGATGTGAGAAAGGGGTAGCCAAGGGGAGCCAATACCAGGGAGAACTGGGGTCCTGGGGCATAAAGGCAAGTGTGGCTTTATCCTGTAGGTATGGCCACTTCTCAGGCATCAACCGCAAAGTGCAGCTGACTTACTACCCTCATGGAGTGAAAGCATCTAATGAGGGGCAAGGTAAAATATAATCTCTTTTTCCTTTTTTCTTTTAACCACTCAGATTTCTTTTTTTTTTTTTTTCTGTCTTGTCTTTTCTGGTACAGGGGATTGAACTCAGGACCTTGCGCTTGCCATGCAGTTGGTTAAACTGCTGAGCTATCTCCCAGGCCTCTAATCTCATTGAATCTGGGGATGGCCTCTGCCTAAAATTACTTTTGTGGCATCAGAAGACATAACATTTAGATATTCTGCCATTTTCCTTAGATGTAAGCCTGTTCACTGCCCCATCTTCCCTCAGATCTGCAGAGGGCAGCTCTAGCCCCTTCCCTGTTGCTGGTACTGAAGTGGGGTGGAGAGCTGACTCCGGATGGCCGTGTTCAGGCTGAGGAGCTGGGACGAGCTTTTCGCTGCATGTACCCTGGAGGGCAGGGTGAGTGTTTAGAGGACTCAGGGACTCCCCGTCGCTGTCCAGGAGCCCATTCATGTTGCTGGATAGAAATACTGTCAGGGCTGGGATAAGATGTTCAGAGGACAAGCTGGGGGAAATAGAGGGGCAGAGGTAGAGGAGAAGAGCATATCCAGCCTCTTCCTGGTCTTTCCCTTTGCCCCAGGTGACTATGCTGGCTTTCCTGGTTGTGGGCTGCTTCGTCTTCATAGCACTTTCCGCCATGACCTCAAGATCTATGCCTCTGACGAGGGCCGTGTCCAGATGACTGCTGCCGCCTTTGCCAAAGTGTGTACCATAGTTTTTCCTCAGTCCTAGCTTTGGTTAGGGGGAGTCACAGAGTCTGGATAACTAGTTGAAAACTGTCAAGGTGTTTGTGTGTTGACTCAGAGAAGTTTCTACTTGTGTCTGACCCTGTCCTCAGCTCCTACTGAGGAACTGAAAAGGGTTGGTGGGAGTAGGCACTTTATCCTATACCCTAACTCTTCAAACCAGCTCCTATGTGACTGGGGCCAGGAAGGCCTCGAAAAACTGTCCAAAAGGGAAACTAATGTGCCTTGGACTTCCCTTCCAGGGTCTTCTGGCTCTAGAAGGGGAGCTGACACCCATTTTGGTACAAATGGTGAAGAGTGCCAACATGAATGGGCTCCTGGACAGCGACGGGGAGTCCCTGAGCAGCTGCCAGCACCGGGTCAAGGCTCGGCTCCATCATATTCTGCAGCAGGATGCACCCTTTGGCCCCGAGGACTATGACCAGGTCAGGCTCTCCCCATCCCTGCTTGTGCTTCCTAGAATTCTAAATAAGGATGTTATGAGGCAATGTTTTAGGAACTTACAGTTACCTCATTTAGTCCTCACAGCATCCCTTGGATAAGTACATGTCCACAATTTCTTTCTTTCTTTTTTTTTTTTTAATGGCGGAACTGGGGATTGAACTCAGGACCTTACGCTTGCCAGGGAAGCGCTTATTCCACTGAGCTATCTCCCTGGCCCCTCACAATTTCAAAAATTAAAAAAACTATAGTTTTGACATTGAGACTTACTTGGAAACTAAACCTAACATGTACCATCATGAGACTAAGCCTTATTTTTCTTACTCGATGTAAATAGTCATACATTTTGCTACAGAAATATAAATGTGTTTGGTTTTGCATAAGCCCCATGAAAGTATCACATGACATAGCTTATACATTGTTTTAACCTCAAAAGTCCAAAAATCTCTCCATTCCCAAATACCTCTGATCCCAAGGTGAATAGAAGAATGTTGTAGTGCTTGTTATGTTAAAAACTGTTAGAAAACTTAGTTGCTAACAATGACCATTTTATTATCTCTTGTAGTCCTGGGCTCAATTAGTCTTTGTCAGAGTCTCTTTTAAACTTGCAGTTAGATGTTGACTGGGGGCCAGGGAGACAGCTCAGTAGAATAAGTGCTTGCCTGGCAAGCGCAGGGTCTTGAGTTCAATCCTTGGTACCACAAAAAAAAAAAAAAAAAGATGTTGACTGGGGCTGGAGCTGTCTGGAGGCTGGACTGGGACTGCAGGCCAGCTGACTAGCTGGCTCCTTCATTGTACTCTGCTTGCATTCTCAAGGCCTGTCAGCTTCACATGTGTTCTTCATGGGGGAGCTGGACTTACTTATTTTTTTTTATTTTTTATTTTTTATTTTTTGCAGAACCGGGGATTGAACTCAGACCCTTGTGCTTGCCAGGCAAGCGCTTATCCTACTGAGCCATCTCCCTGGCCCCCTCAATTTGTGATAGCTTGAGCAGATGCTTTCAGCTTTCTTAAAGCGTAGGCCCAGACTTAGAACAATATAATTTTTTTTTTTTAATTTTATTGGTTAAGCAGTTATAGGAGGCCAGAGATATAGCTCAGCGGCATAAGCAACTGCCCGGCACTTTATCCTATACCCTAACTCCTGGCAAGTGCAAGGTCCTAAATTCAATCCCTGGTACCACAAACAAAAAACAAAAGCTGTTATGGGCCAGCCTAGAGGGAAGAGAGGAAACAAAAGAATTAATGACTACCTTTAATCCATCACAGGGACTATTAGAGCTATACTACTTTTCTCCTGTTTTACTGAGCAGAAACCCTAGGCTATAAAGAATTTAAGCAACTTTCCCAAGATATAGTTAGTGTGAGCCCCATATTCTAACTCCAGAGCTTGGGCTCGAAACCACCACAGAAGATGGAGTCTCACAAACTATGGTCCGTGTGGGTGCTGATAGCCAAAATGCTCTTCCTGTTTCTAGGTACCCAGGCTACCTAGGGTGAACCAGGCAGTCCCACTCCTCATTTCTGATAGGTTGGTTTTAAATGTTATTTTGAGACGGGTCTCACTATGTTGCCCAGGTTGACCTCTGAGTCCTGCCTTCAAGTGATCCCCTGCCTTAGCTTCTTAAGTAGCTGGGACTGCAGGCCTGAGCTGCCATACCTGGCTATTATCTTTTTAAATTGTAGCGTGACTTAGACCATTTTTGGATATACAGTTCACTGGCATTAAGCATATTCATCCTGTTGTGTAATTATTTCTGACAGGTTCCTAAATGAGCTCAGCGGCGGAGCACATTACTCACATTTGCTGTATTTCCCTCTGAGCAGGACTTAAGGGGCAAAATCTTGCTCTCCTGTTTTCTACTTCATTGTTCAGGGTTAAATAAAAAACATCTAGGGTAACTTTCCCTTTCTCCTTTCTCCCTTTTGTTAACAAGAATAAAATGTGTGAGGCTTTGGGTAGAACTAGGCATTTCACCTAATGTCTTTTTCCTTACCCTACCACTACAATTTTCTTTCTCTCTTACCATTTCTTTTTTTTTTTTTCTTTTTTTGAGACAGAGTCTCGCTATGTAGTTCAGGCTGGCCTTGAGCTCACTTTGTAACCCAGGCTGATCTCGAACTTGCAATGATCCTCCTGCCTCTGCCTCCTGAGTGCTAGATTACAGGCACGTGCTACCACTCCCAGCCACCATTCTTTATTAATTGTGACTGTACTCAAAGCATGAGTTGGAACCCAGACTTAGATGATACTTTATTCTGGGTCTATGAAAGATATCTCTAGTATTTAGTCATGAAAATATTTTGCAGAGATTTTGAGGAATTTTGGGTTTAATCTTGATTTTCTAGCATTTTTCATTTGTATTTTAGAGCCCTGAAGAAAAGAACTAAGGTATGTTTTATTTTCTCTGAACTCCAAGATGTTTAAGATTGGCTCCTTTAAAAACAAACAAGGGCCAGCAAGATAGCTCAGTGGACTAAAGCACCTGCTTAGGCAAGCTTAGACGGGTCTCACTATGTTGCCCAGGTTGACCTCTGAGTCAGGGACCGCAGTTGGATCCCCGGCACCACATGCTGCACCAGCCCCACCCCAGGGTGGGCTGAGCCAGCCACTGAGTCTGGAGCATAGTATGCACCAGTAATCCTAGCCCTGAGGAGGCTAAAAACAGGAGGATCACCATGAATCTGACCTGTGTAGTGAGAGCCTGTACTAAATATATAAATTTTTTTAAAAAGGGGGCCGGGGAGATGGCTCAGTAGAATAAGTGCTTGCCTGGTAAGCACAAGGGCCTGAGTTTAATCCCCAGTTCCACAAAAAAAAAAAAAAAAAAAAAAAAAAAATCTTGGCTCCTCTAGTTGACTGTGGTAGAATGGTCATCTGAAAGCCCTAGAACTACTGTGTCCAATAGCCTAAGATACTCATTGCAGTCAGCCAACAAATAGCTCTGCACTGCAGATGGTCTCCTTAGAAGTCACAGGAACCTGGCAACTGGCACCAACCCTGTCTTGCCTTTTTCTCTCTCTGTCCCCACAGTTGGCGCCTACTGGAAGCACTTCCCTGCTTAACTCCATGACTATCATTCAGAATCCTGTGAAAGTCTGTGATCAGGTATTTTCCCTGATTGAAAACCTCACCAGCCAGATCCGGGAGCGGATGCAGGATCCCAAATCTGTAGGTGAGTATAAGTGCTACTGTTTCCTGTTGTTGTCTTTTCGAGACAGAATTTTGCTATAGAGTTTAGACCAGCCTTGAAGTCACTTTGCAGCTCAGGCTAGATTCCGACTCATAATGATCTTCCTTCCTCAGCTTCCCTAGTGCTAAATCGCAGGTGTGCACTACCATGCCTGGCCTGTTTTCCTTTTAAGGTCTTAGTTCTCAATGCATTTCAGAGGCACACCTATGTCTTTTTCTAACTGTCTGAGACAAAGCATCTTACCCTCATGGTTGTACTCAAGTTGTCAGTGGTTTTTTTTTGTTGTTGTTGTAATTGGAGCCCTATCTGAGTTTCTGCCTTTCTCCAAGACCTGCAGCTCTATCATAGTGAGACCCTAGAGCTAATGCTGCAGCGCTGGAGCAAGCTGGAGCGTGACTTTCGGCAGAAAAGTGGGCGCTATGACATCAGTAAGATCCCAGACATCTACGATTGTGTCAAGTACGATGTGCAGCACAATGGGAGCCTGGGCCTCCAGGGCACAGCAGAGCTGCTGCGTCTCTCCAAGGCGCTGGCGGATGTGGTCATTCCTCAGGTGTGTGTCATAAGGGCCTGCAGGTGAGGGTGTGAGGGAGGAGGAAAGGTGGAAGGATGTGATGTGGGAACCAGGGGAGGAAAATTTAGAGAAGGAATTAGTTGAGTTACTACAATTCCCAGAGTCCTCTGTGGCTCTGGCTAAGAACAGGAGGCTAACTGAGGAGAGGCCTGAAGAGAGAAAAGGATGTAAATAGGAAAGAAGCCTCAGGTCCAACGTGCAGACAGGCATGATCTTGGGGCTGGAAGTGTGAGGCAGAAGGAAAGGAAGACTGATCGAGATGTTTTTTTTCTGACCAATGGCCCCTTAGGAGTACGGGATCAGTCGGGAGGAGAAACTGGAAATCGCCGTAGGCTTCTGTCTTCCACTGTTGAGAAAGATACTACTTGACCTGCAGAGAACCCACGAGGATGAGTCTGTCAACAAGCTGCACCCCCTGTGAGGGAGGCCGGGAGGGGCGCTGGCTGGAGGGAGGGCCACTGGGAGCCCTGGGGGCATTAAGGCTGGGAAGGCTTAGGAAACTTAGAAGGAAATGGTCAGGGAGGGAGAAGATGGGAGCAGCCTTTGAGGTGGGAGGAGGGAGTGTGTGGAGTGACGGTGTGTGTGACAGAACTGTCCTCTCAGGTACTCCCGAGGGGTGCTCTCCCCAGGCCGCCACGTTCGAACACGGCTCTATTTTACCAGCGAGAGCCACGTCCACTCCCTACTCAGCGTCTTTCGTTATGGGGGGCTCCTTGATGTAAGGACCCTCCTTCTCCTTTTAGCTTGTGACATCTTTCCCCAGCATTCTTATTCTGCTCTTCCTTTTTTACTTTGCAAGCTTTCACTGTCATCCTTGGTGCCGTGCCTATTTCTGTCTTCCTGTCTGAGGCACTGGCTTAGCTCTTTCTCTGTTTGGTAGGAGACCCAAGACACACAGTGGCAGCGAGCATTGGCCTACCTGAGTGCCATCTCAGAGCTCAACTACATGACCCAGATTGTTATCATGCTTTATGAGGATAATACGCAGGTAAGGACCAAACAGGCAGGCTGAGCAGAAGACCCTCCTTTAAAAAGAAAGCCTTATTAGCCCTAGAGTCTGTATAGTCCAGTTACGTGTGACACCTAGGTACAGAATGACAGAGTGTCCAGGAGGTTCCTGCTGGGACAGGAAGTATGTTGAGCCTGAATATTAATCCCAAGACATAGTTCTGGCATTAAGGAGGAAAATGTCATACATTTCTGAGTCTTTCCCCTTAGATATGGTTGTAATATACCTTTTGCCTCCAGTGCTACAGAGTTGTCTTTTATATGTTGTATTCACTGTATCAAAATAATTGTGGAAGTTGGCTGGTCATGTGGAGAGGAGAATCACAAATGGTGGAATGTGAGGGAGTAAGGATTCTCTACCAGATAGTAGCTAAAAGGATGGGGAAGGACCCTGAACCTCAGCCCTGGCAAGAGGCATCTTCTTGAGTTCCTCTGTTGGCCCTGCCTAAAAGATGGTATCCACCCAGGACTTCTCTCAGCCAGCCCTTTATTGGCTGTGTCCTGTAGGATCCCTTGTCAGAGGAGCGGTTCCATGTGGAGCTGCATTTCAGCCCTGGAGTGAAAGGTGTTGAGGAAGAAGGCAGTGCCCCAACTGGCTGTGGATTCCGTCCAGCATCTTCTGAGGTGGGTCTGAGGCTAGGATTTGAGACTGGTAGGCTTAGGTACCAAGTGGTTGGAACCAGTACAGGGTGGTTGGAGGGCTGAGGAATTTGGGACTGAAAGGGTGGAAGCCACTCATGTCTGTTACTGAACAGAATGAGGAGATGAAAACAGACCAAGGCAGCATGGAGAACCTGTGCCCAGAGAAGGCACCAGATGAGCCGGACCGGGCCCTGCAGACGTCACCCCAGCCACCTGAGGGGCCTGGGCTCCCGAGGAGATCACCCCTCATTCGTAACCGAAAAGCCGGCTCTATGGAGGTAATGGGAGGGCCTTGGGAAAAAGATGAAGGGGTAGAAACACAGTATCCAAGCTCCCTGGGGAGACTCTTGGACCTGAAACAAAGTCCCCAGCCCTTACTGATGTGTTTGGCTTAATCCTTCTCTCAGAACTGGTCCCCAGGAGAACTTTAAGCTGGTTACTACTTCTGGTAGTTGCCAATAAGGCATTCCTGAGAGAGGTATTTTATGAAATAAAATTGAGGGGGAACTCTGAATGAATTTGAAGAGGTAGTTATTTAAAAGGAAATATAAACTGGATGTAGTGGTGCACAGCTGTAATCCCATCACTCTGGAAGGCTGAAGCAGAAGACTCTGAGAGTTCAAGGCCTGCCTGGACTACACAGCAAGATCCTACCTCCCCCATAATACTAATAGTAAAAGAAAAGAAAATATAGTTGAAGCAGCATAAACTCTGTTGACATTCCAGTCTGCTTCTTAGAAACTGTGTGACCTTACATAGAGAGTTGAACTTCTTTAACCCTCACAGTTTTTCATTTATAAAATATGGGTAATATCTACCTTATAGATATTCATTAAACAGTAACCATAGTAACAACACAGTTCATATTAAACTTTTTTCAATTATTTATTTATTTATTTATTTATTTGGTACGGGGTCTCGCTCTGCAGCGTGGACTCGTAGTGATCTTCCTGTCTCAGCCTCCCCAGTGCCGGGATTACAGGCATGTACCACCACACCTGGCATGATGGGGGCCTGGGCTCTCGAGGAGATCACCCCTCCTTTGTAACCAAATGATCTCTTTGGGAGATCACCTTTAGGGTTGCCCAGGCCACCCAGGGTTCTGGGGGCCTGGCCCAGCATGCGGTACTGGGGATTGAACTCAGGTCCTTGTGCTTGCCAGGCAGGTGCTTAGTCCGTCAAGCTATCTCCCCAGCCCCTAACACAGTTAATATTAAAGGCCACTCCATCTCGTTGTTGCTTTGGGTAAAAATTACAACAGAGATGAGTAAATGCCTAGCACTTACTCTCACTGGGGTTTTCTCTACTGTTATTTCAGAAACAGGATCAGTCTGGAGAGCTTTTTCTCTCTTAATGAGGTTTGTCTAAAGAAAGAGACTGTTACTAATCTCACATCATGTCCAGCTGTCTTGGGGTTTCTGTTCTGGTCTTATTCCTGGAAACACTGTTTCTTTCTTTGGCCCAATGATACCTTTTTGATGTCATGACTACCCATCACAGGTAATCTCTGACTTGGATACTGCTCTTGCCCAAGAATTTGCTCAGCTGACTGTGTCATATCCCTGCCTTAGGGGAACTGTTTTTTCCACTTTATGGATATTTAAGAAGGATATATAATTTTCATAGATTCAGCCCAAGTTTTATCATTCAGATTTTGGAGAAAGCTGAGAAGACAAACTATAGTCTCTTTTGTGGACTCATCCTTGACTTTCTGATTATTTTAAGGTGGAACTAACATTGTGAATGCTTAGGATTTTTAGGTGGGATAGGCATTATTTTCTTTCTTCGTTGTGGTTATAATTTGGTGTCCTTCATCCTCTGAGTGCCCCACATGCCCACATGAACCAAATCAAGTGGACAGAGTAACATATCATCTTCTGTTAGTGAGCTGCTTCTTCACATCTAAAAGTCTTCCCCATGCGTCTGGTCTGCTGGTCTCCATGGCATTCTTGTCGGGGATCCCTTGTTTTCTTCTGATTTAAATACAACAGTCACAGGCAAAGAAGAACTCTCTATGATTTCATGAGATCAGTTTCTTTCAGGAAGCTTCCTGTTGTAATTGCATTCCTTCTTTCAGTTTCTAGTGTTGTTTACACTGTGGCTCACCCAGGATGGTCCCTGCCCAGGATTTCCTTCTCAGCCTTGCAAGCAAACCTTCTCTTTGCTCCTTGGTCACATAGCCTTGTAATACTATTTCCTCTCCCTGCTCTATGGGGCATTGGACGCTTTCATCCTTATCACTAGCATCCTTCCTTTCATCCTATCTCATTCTTTTGTCATTTCATGCTTTTGAATGGTATTAGATTGCAAAAACCTTCATAGCATCTGAGCCCTATCTGGTCATCCTCTCCAGCCTTCTACCTAGCTCTGTCCTTTGGGCACTTGGGCTTTGGGAACCTAAGAGTAAAAGGAGCCATGACCGGCTTCCTACCCGGTCTGATTGCAGGTCATGAACATGCAGTGCACGGGGAGCCTGGACCTGATCCCCTTGAGGGGACGGCGCCGCAGGCGGTCAGGAGACCTCCCCCGGCCTTCCCCAGCCATCGGCCTACAGCCCCGGGCTGTGTCCACCACTCACTTGGCGTCCTGCACACAGGTGTCCCTCCCTGCCTCACCGCCCTGTGCTGCCTTCTGTCTTTGCTTTTGGGGATCTAGGGGTGCAGAACACTATCTAGGTGGGATGTGCGCATGTTGAAGATTGAGCAATTGGCCCACCCTTGCAAGTGTTTGAAGAATTCTATTTCGTGTGTCCAGGAGTGCAGCTGTCAGAGGGGAGGGCCTCTTGTTTTTTGTATCTAGCTCAGCCCACCCTGGGGGCAGGGCTGGTGCGGCACGTGGTGCAGGGGATGGAACCACAGTCCCTGCACACTTGCCTAAGCAGGCACTTTGGACCGCTGAGTTATCTCGCTGGCCTGGGCCTCTTGTTTTACAATAAGAAACCTAGTATGGTTGCAGTTACCACAGCCATCACACAGAGAGAAGAGGGGGTAACTGGACTCCTGTGGCTGAGCCATTGTGATTGGCTTTCTGAGTCCAAGGGAGAGACAGATAAGATTGGGGGATGCCATTGTACTGAGAGTAATGGCTTCTTAGGTTTGGTGTGGGAGGACCATGAGGATAGGCCTCTTGGAACTAGAAGTGCCTTCCAGCATACACAGTTTCCATGAACTACACTGTCTGTTCACTTTCAATTTTTCTTCCCCTATAGAAATCCTTTGATTCTTCCAAACTTTGATGCTGCTTGGCTCTGTAGGGGCAAGAATTTAATACTTGGGTTTTACACTTCTGGGTTGAGTAACAAAATGATAACAGAGGGTCTTTTTTGTGCAGGTGCTTTCTGAAACTTCCTCCTCAAGGCCTGGTGGCTACCGACTCTTTTCATCTTCACGGCCACCAGCGGAGATGAAGCAGAGTGGCCTAGGTATGATTTTCTAGTGTCTGTCAGCTGTTGTTGGGAAAGGGTTGTCTGTCTGTTCTTTGAGTTTTATTGTGGGGAATTTTTGTCATGGGAGTCGGGACCATTCAGTCTGCGGAGCTGTCAGGTGGGGTGAGGGAGGATGAAGGGGGCAAAGCCATGGTTAGGTGTGAAGCTGGATCGAAGATGATTGGTTCATCCCTGGAAGGTCCCCTGTGTACCTGCTTAAAGGGCATTTTTGTGGCTCTCCCTCTCATTCCTTATCTGTCCTTCCAGTCCAGCCCAGACGTTAAGGGGCCATGGAGACTCTGAAACTTCAGAGTTATCAGTGACAGAGCTATAAATAGAGGTACCTGTGACCCCGTAACTGTCATATTTCCCACATGGAGGATTGTGCCATGTCTTTCTCTGAAGCCCTCATTTTTCACAACCCTGCTCTGGCCCTCTACCTCCATGCCCTGTCCTCCATCCTGTCCTAATCCTGTAACTTTTTCCTTTCCTTCCGGAAGATTGAGGGCCAAGTCTGAGGCTGGTGTAGTGGCAGAGGCTTTTCTCATGACTTTGAGAGAATGTCTCTTGATTTTTTGATCCCTCAAGAGGGATGGAGAACATCATTCAACCTTTTCTAAGAACACAGACTACAGGAAGGACCAAGCTTCAGAGGGTATTGTATTCTTTGGGAGGGGAGGAGGTCCTTGGGGGGCTGTCTCCAAACACAGTGCCATGTGTTCTAGAACTGGAGGTCAGACACGACTGTGTGGGGTCTGAGCTTGTTCCCTTGGCTCTTCTTTTGTTTTGTCATATTGTTCTCTATATTTAGGTCCTCTTGTTTTTCTGTACCTTTGTCCTTGGCACCTAATTTCTTGACCCAAAAGTGGTCAGCATTTGGACTCCCATGGGGAAGAAAGGTTTTGGTAATTTTCTAGGCTAATTTGATGAAAGTAGGTTGCCTTCTAGATCCTTGAAATAAGGTAGGTGGTTTGGGGCATGAGAAGTAATGATAAATGTGTAGGGCTGTGATCTGCACTTCTCTTTCCAAGGATAGGTTTCAGATAGGCTGAGGAAGTGGATAGTTATACTTGGCCTAGTTAAGTAAAAGTGTAACATGAAGGATAAAACAGAGAGAAATAAAAATAGAAATAAAAAATAAAGAAAAATCAGAGGTGGGTTTGGGGTACACACTTGTAATCCCAGTACTCAGAAGGCTGAGGCAGGACGGTCACTTCAAGTTCAAGCCTAGCTTGGGCTACATAGTGAGTTCAAGGCCAGCCCAAACTATGTAGTGAGACCTTGAAACAAAGCAAACAACAACAACAAAAGAATAAAACAGAAAAAGCAAGGTACAGTGGTGTGTACCTGTACTCTCAGCTACTTGAGAGGCTGAGACAAGAGGATGCTTGAGGCCAGCAATTTGAGAACAGCTTGAGCAGTATAGTGAGATCTTGTTAAGAAAGGGAGAGAGGGGAAGGGGTATAGCTCAGTAGCACCTGCTTGGTAAGCATGAGGTCCTGGGTTTGAGTCCTGCTATCAAAAAAAAAAAAAAAAAAAAGAAAGAAAGAAAGAAAGAAATTAGAAGAGAAAAGAAGAAAGGGAAGGAGGAAGGAAGGACAGAAGGAAGGAAAGAAGAAGAGAAAAGAAAAGAAAGCCGTGATATGGACATAGACCTGGTTGACAGATGGTAGTGGTAAGGTAGAGATCACCCTCTGAGATTATCTAAGGACTGGGCAGAACTGGGCTGGCACAACCACACTAGAAAGTGACTCAGTGCAGGAAGTAGATGTAGGACAAACCCTGGGTGGTCTGGGATGTGGCCAGCTAGTTTTAGCTTCTCTGAAGAGAAGCAAATATATTTATTTTATTTTTTTTGGAGTACAACTGTAACCTTTATTCAACATGAGTCATTAAGATACAGTTTGCCCATGTGCAGAAACACTGTGTATTCAACTCTGAAGAAGGTAGTGATTTTAAGCACAGGAAAACACAAAAGTATCCAAGTGTTTCTATGAGGGAATAGTTTTGTACTTTCTTACATTTCTGGCAGTCAAGTGACTTAGTAAACTGAAATAAGCTACACATCAACTTCAACAGTCTTTACAAGTGATTGTACAGTCTTGGGGTGAAGATACTAATTTTAGAGATGGCATGCTAGGGATATTAAGTCTTAAGTATCTCAACAGAAAACAAAAATGGCTCTTTTTAATAAAGAGAATGCAAAAAATAGTACAAAAATAAAAACATTTAAAAACATACAGAATTTCTGGGCTAGGGAGATAGCTCGGCAGTCTAAGCACCTGCCCAGCAAGAGCAAGGACCTGAGTTCGATCCCCAGTGCCACATGCTGTGCCTGCTAGCCACCGAAACTGGCCATGGTGGCACAGGCCTATAATCCCAGCACTGGGGACGCTGAAACAGGAAGATCACTGCGAGTCCAAGCTGCTAGCGAGACCCTCTGTAAGTTGAACTCTCATGGCTTTTATTTTCACTGAGAATTCGGCATAAATGCAAAAATTTGCCTCTCCCTGATTTCTCCCAGTTCTTTATCCACTCTGCGGGAGCTACCACAGCTGCGGCCGCCATCTTCCCCTCACTAGGAACAGAAGCCCGAAGCAAATCTATTTAGCAGCCCTATTACTCTCTGCAGCCCATTTCCAGAGCCTGTGTGAGCATGACAGGTGATGTTGCTGAGTGGAGAAGTCCTGACCTCAGGGTAGAAATCATTGACAACCTCAGCTTTCTGGCTTATCTGGGACTCTTAGAAACATGGTCCTTTCTTTGAGGAAAAAAGAGGAACTGGCAGCCTCTCATCTATCTCCCCACAAATGTTAAGACATCAGCCAAACCCAGAGTCATGGCTGAGATGGATTTGGAGGTAGAGGGGAATATCCCCAAAGCTTAGGTGTCAGTGTTGACCCCTTCTGACCATGGTGTCCTTGAGAGCTAAAGTAGACTGTGCCATGGAATGCTAGCCCTAGTCTAGATAGATCACACCCTGAGGACAGTGACTGACCTGACTTACTCTCTTCAGAGATTCTTCAAGTTTAATGTACTCCTGATTGGAAAGAGAATTCTCCTCGCTTTCTTTGCACTTGTGTATGGGGGCCTCTGGTTTGGTTCATAGGAGTACAAGACAATAAATTTAAGAGTAGAAGAATATGAGTTTTTGTTGTTTCCTGCTTTCCTTCTCTGAAGAGTGCTCAGTACATACCAGGCATGCGCCGCATGGAGTCATCTACCTTTCGCATGCCTTCCAGTTTGTTGACTTTAGAAATATTGTTGTTTCCTGGTGTGGTGGGTGGTGCACATCTATAGTCTTGGCACTTGGAAGGCTGAGGCAGGAAGATCACTATGAGATCAAAAGGCCATCCTGGGTTAGATAGTGAGCTCAAGGCCAACCTCAACTACATAGTGAGATCCTGTCTTAAAAAATAAAAACAGGGGCTGGGGAGATAGCTCAGTGGAATAAGTGCTTGCCTGGCAAGCACAAGGTCCTGAGCTTGATCCCTGGTACCACAAAAAAATAAATAAAAGAAAAAATAAAAGAAAATGCTGTTTCCCTGGGAGAAAAAAAAAAAAATTCTTTTTCAACTGAAGACAGTTGGTCTCCAAGGTAGGAGATCTAGATTCTAGTTCACCTTACCTCCTTATATAGTCTGAGTTTTTTCTTTTCATTTCTTCATTCCTACTGTGAGAAAGTTGGAGTGGATAGCCTATTAGTCCCTCCCAGCTTTAGAAATTCAGCACGTCTCATGTTTTCATTCTTGGGAAAGGTAAAAAGACCTCACAAGAGGGAATACTTTTTTTTTTTTTTTTTTTTTTCGGAACTGGGGATTGAACTCAGGCCCTTGTGCTTGCCAGGCAAGCGCTTATTCTACTGAGCCATCTTCCCAGTCCCATAGGAGGGAATACTGAATGAAGAGTTTAGAATTGAAGCAGTGATAGCTGAGTGCTGAAAATTCAGTCTGTAGCTTCAATCAGAGTTTTTCCTAGGCCAGACATGGTGGCGCATACCCATAATCTGAGCACTAGGGAGGCTAAGGCAGGAGAATTTGCAAGTTCAAGGCCAGTCTGGACTATAGAGCTAGATCCTGTCAACAAACAAGCAAGCTTTTCCCTTTTAAACCGACAAGGAAGAGCTGGGGATGTAATTTAGCGGCACAAGTGCCTGCCTGGCATGCGCAAGCAAGGTCCTGAGTTTGATTCCAGGTAAAACAACAGCAACAAAACACCTTACAAGGAACTAGATTTCTGCATTTCTCAAATCGCCTATCCAGGATAAAGGACACGGAGTCAACTCTAGGGAGATCTTGAGGGATCTAGCTATTCTTTAGCATTTCTGAGAGCCTCCTGAGGAGCACAGTCTATTTCTTTCAGAAGCTTTGAATCCCTTAATACGACTAACCCTGTAATTGGAGTGGCCTCCTGTCTCTGCCATGAAGAGAATCCCCATTTTGCTTGCCCAGCGTGGCTATGGATGACAGTGAACAGTTCACTGTGTGGAGTGGCCGTGTGGCAGTGGCACTGATTGGCTGTGTGTGTCTCAGTGTTGTCCTGTGTCATGTGGACTTGTGCACAGCTTTGTGTGGCTACTAATGTGCTCCTGGCCTTGCAGGCTCGCAGTGCACAGGGCTGTTCAGCACCACAGTGCTGGGTGGCTCCTCCAGCGCCCCGAATCTTCAGGACTACGCCCGCAGCCATGGCAAAAAGCTATCACCTGCCAGTCTGAAGCACCGAGATGGTATGTGGGTGGGTTTTGGGGGGCAACTCCTCTTTTTACTTGTCTCCTAGCCAGCACACAGCTCCAGAGCCATTTGTGCTTAAGATGGTACTGATAATGGCCTCAATACAGGTTTTTTTCATCAAGACTAGCTGGGCGAGCTGGGACCCTTTGCACCCTTCCATTTGCATCCCTCTCACCATACAAACACTACTTATTTATGCTTATCCCTTCATAATTCCCACATACAGCCTTGCTGCCTCAGTTTGTATGCTTTCCTGGATTCTGGCCTGTAGGGTGAGGATCAAGAGGATGGTCAACAAAAATGCTGTGGAACCTTGACTGAAATCCCGGAAATCAAGTGTAGGGGGAAGTTGATCAGCTCTGGTAGAAAAAAAAACTGATATGGCAGGAGACTGAGAAGAGGGAAGAAAGTGGTGACACAGATTGTATTTACAAATGACCGGCAGGAGGATGCTGTGGTGAGATCAGTGTTTATGGGGCCATACCATGGTAGACATGGCACAGCTTACTAAGAGATTGCACCAAAGGAAAAGCATTCAGAAGCCTGAGGGGCGGGGATGGGAGCAGGTCATTTAATTAATTAAAGAACAGAGTATACTACGGGCAAATTCCAAAGCAGAACGGGGGGACAGGGTGGGTATAATCCCCATGATGTCTTTTCTCCCCAGAGCTCTTGTTTGTCCCGGCCGTAAAACGATTTTCTGTGTCGTTTGCAAAGCATCCGACTAACGGTACGTTTGCTTTTGACTCAACATCATGCCTCCTCACCATTGTCACTTCCAGACACTTAACCACTGAGTTTTGACACTGACTTCGCCTTTCCTTCCACTGTGTTGACACCCTGCTGTCTCTAGATGAGCTCATCACTACGTGTCCTCGCTGGGACCTTTCCCTTACGACAGCCTGAGCCTCGGCTGCAGCCTGGCGACCTCTCCCTGTGGCAGCGCAGGGTCTTACTTCCATAATCACTGTCATGGCCATCACGTCTTTTGTGTCAGCATCACCTCCCTGAACTGATTAAAGCACTGCTTTTCCTATCATGTGACTGCCAGCCCACGCACAGATAGGGTAATGGTTCCTCTTCCTAGAGAATAAATAGGATCGCCTAGATTGGGCCCGTAGCTTCTCTTTTCTTCCCCTACTCCTCAGCATATATAATTTTCATCTTCCTGGTTTTTTCTCCAACTCACTTGGTGGGGCAGATGACTCATTTGTTCCTCTGCCAGAGCAGTGCTGCAGTCCCCACTCCTGCCCCTGCTCAGAAGGAATACAGTGTATTGTTCCCCATCTCCATACTCCTGTCTCCTGCCGTCGTGTGTAATGTGTGTGGCACTTGTGCTCCTACATCTGCTTTATGTTACTACTAACCTAGTGCCTGGGCTTAGGAAGCAGGCCACGTTGCTGTGGGCTAAGAGGTAGGAAGCAGACTAGGAGATAGGAGATAGAGGGGAAGACGTGAAACTTTGAGATTTTTTTCTTCTTGTTTTGGGAATTTTTTTTTTTTTTTTTTTTTTTTGGATTGGGGGATTAAACTGAGGGCTTTGTATGCCAGCCTTGTTCCTTGAGGTTTGTTGTTGTTGTTTGAGACATGGTTATGATATGTAGTTCAGGTTGGCCTTGAACTCACTGTGTAGCCCAGCTGGCTTCCAACTCATGGCAGTCCATCTGCCTCAGCCTCCCAAGTGCTGGGATCACAGCTGTGCGCCACCATGCTTGGCTCCATGAATTTTGAATGTAGTTTCCATGTGGCTCCAGCCTACACATGGCAGATCCATCCCAGAGAAACTGGAAGCAAACAGTGGAGTTGAGTTTTTTGTTGGGGATCGTGAGGGAGATTAGATGTGAACAATATTCTGTTTCAAGAATATTGAGGAACAAGATCTGCCCACACTAATGGGATGAGTTTGCTGATCTTGGAGATCAAAACTGAGGGGGTTATAGAGTTTTTGTAGGGCGTGGCAGGAGAGCCAAGGCCCACTCCCTGTTGAGATTTTACCCTTTGTACCCTTAGTTTTTTTCTCTGCATTGTATCTTGTCCTTGAGGTAAATCTTTTGTTAGATATGGTTCTTCCAAGAGCTAAAACAATCAGAAGGCCTCCTCATGCTGACACCTCTTGCTGCCTCACCAGTGGTGCGTACAAGACTTTAGACCTGCTAGGTCATGCATCCCCACTAGCACTGTTGGAATTTCTCTGAGTTGACAAGCCTAGATTTTTCTCAGTTTAGCAGGCTAAGCCCACAGGCTCCCATTGTGCCGTGGCAGAAGTCCCCATTCAGAGCAACACGTTGCACCAACTCATTCAGCTTCCAGCCTTTCTGGCCTTCGTATGCCATAGTCCTGACATACTTGACTCACAACACCAAGCCAGGGACTTGAGCTTAGGGCCCATAATCTGTTACCAGGAGAGGAGACCCCTGAAATGAGAGTTAAATCATGTATCTCCTAGTTTCTCAGGAGCCGTAGGAAAAGACCCATGTTCATAAGACAGATCCTATATATCTCCAGTTCCCTGAAGTCTTGGTTGGCAGACTCACCAGCTAAAGAAAGCATGAATTAATTTTACTATAAAGAGGAAAGGAAGAAAGACCTGAACAATTCAGGTACAATGCCGGAGAACAAATTCAAGATCTCCAATACTTTGCACACTTCCTCAAGAGTCTTCCAGCCTCCTCTGTTTTCTTTGTGCTTGAGCTTGGAGGCTGATGTGCTTGAGAAGCCAGAATCTGAGGTTTTACATAACAGAAATATGGAGCTAATGTCTCTTTCTGAGGATTACCTAGATTTAAGTTAGCCTTAAGACAGTCTGAGTGCTCTACCCTATGGCCAAGGTCTTGCTTGACTGACCCAGTAATTACAGAGTGGGCACTCTGTCTACAACTGCTTGTGGCAGATTATTCATGGCAGTGGGCCAGCCTGCTGTTTCATCACCACCTTCTCCTTGCATGATGTCTGGCAGGGAAATAGCAGCTGGGAAAAGTGGACCTGGCTTTGGAAAGGAGGCAAGGCAATGCTGTCTCCGTTCTTTGAAGAGCAACCCTCAGCCCATCCTTGCCTCTTTTCTGATGCTTCTATCATGTCCTATGATAATATCCAGCATATAAGTATGACCTGTTAATAAACTGAATGCTGAACTCACCAAAGTAAAGAATAAAGTGGAAAAGAGACTATGGCTTGCCCTCACCTCAAATGCCAGAGTGTACATAATGGATCTGTCAAGCCTGTTATCTTCCAGTGACCTGCACAACTGTGTGCTGTTGGAGGTCAGCGCTCACTGGAATAGCCTGGCTAGAGTTGAATTCCCTCCTGATGTCTAGACTAGGGTCTGAAAATCATATTCTCGTGGATCACCCTGCTCTGGGAGTTCTGAGTAATCATCCCCAGCTGCCTTGCTCCTGCTTCTCTGTACCAGCATCCTGTACTCAGGCTCTTACTTGTCCTCACATCAGGCCTTTAGACTCCATTTCCTTTCTCCCAGCTCTTTCCTGTTGCTCCCCTTATACCTCCTACTGCAGGCCTTCTGTCTTCAGCCTTCTGCAGCTGGTCCCCTGCACCCATAGTTTGCCAAGCAGCCAAAATGATGAGGGACTTAGAATCAAGGCTTTCCACTCACCAGCTGAAAACACTGTGTTTAGACTCCTCAGCAGTGGAAAGACGACATAAAATCATCTCCCTTTGGCTTCTGTAGGGATGTGTCCCCCAAGGTAGATATTTCTGTAGACTTAAAAAAATGTGTTTATTAGAACAAGGGTAAGGTAAAGATGATGAGTCTGTGTTTAATTTTCTACATGCATTAATTTGTTTATATATTTATTTAGAGATAACATCTTGGTATGTAGTTCAGGCTAGCCTTAAATTCACTGTGAAGCCTGGGCTGGCCTTGAATTTCCAGCAATCCTCCTCCCAGCCTCAGCCAAGTGCTAGAATTAGAGGTGTGTACCACTAGGATTACAGGTGTGTACCACCACACCTGGCTTACATGCTGTTTTAAAGGAATCCTAGACTTGGTTTCCGGCACTGTATGCCAACTGCCTGGAACCAGCCCTTTCAGGGGCTGTCTTAGTGTCCTGCTGCAGAGGCCTAACCTGAGCTTTCAGCAGCCCTTTTAGATTTAGACTTATCTCAATACCCAGTACCGTTCTTGGCCCACTTCTCTAAGTGACTTAGAATTGTTTCATCTCTATCCCACCTTGCAAATGCCTTTCTCCAATTAGTTTGTTCAGAATGACCTGATCAGGGCCTGGAGCTCTAGTACAGGTTCTCAGCTACAGAACTGTCAGCTCTTCCCAGTCCAGAGGATGTGAATGCTGCCAGTCCTGACTGAATTATGCTCCAGGAGGAAGGGCAGGGCTTTGATGTGTGATGAACTCTTGTCTACTTCATCCCTCTTTTATTCTTGCCCTGTATTGTCAACATTGTTCTTGCCTGCAAGAAATGCCCCGTGGCCCTGGCCATCTCGCCTTCTTCCTTAGCTCACCTTGGATCTGCGTGGCCCCACTTCCAAGTAATGCTGTGCCAGTCAGTGCCCCCTCATTGTCTCTCCTTCTCTTTCTTTACCCTTGTGCTTCCTACTGTGGCCCCCTGCCCTGTCCAGAGCTGCTGGATGACCAGCACCCTGTGGTCCGGTTGCTGCGTGGTTTTTCCTCTGACTGCCCAGGGTGCCGGCCGGTCTCCTTGGATGCCACACTGGCACATCATCTGCACCAGTGCTCCTACCACCTGCGCCTCTTCCGGAACTGGCTGCACTCAGGCCAGGATGACCCCGAGTGCCTCTACGGTATCCCCTGCTGCAGGCTGGCTGCTGCCACTGTCCTGGCTGGAACCAATTGCTTTGCTTATTGCACTTCTGGCAGGAGAGCCCATCTAGTCCTTCCTCCTGTTCGCTCTAAGGTTATGTGACTTGCATCTAGTTGCTTGAATGGGATCAGGGCCAGGCTGCCTGGTAGCTGTAGCATTGGCTGCTTGCCCTCCTCCTGTTCTTCTTTCTCACCACCCCTAGTGTTAGTGTTAGATATTCTCCAGTTCTAGTCGGTATAAAGTAACCTCTTGTGCTGGAACCTGTTCTTAGCTCTCTAATCCTTTACTACTATGCTCTTCTGGTTGAAACATTTTATGAACCACTCTGAGGAGCTAGAGACTCCTTTACTCTCCTGCCACTGGATTACAGGGGGAAACTGAGGCATAGAAGCCCCAATTAAATTCTTGAGGCAAATAAAGGCCAAAGGTTAGAAGATAATGCGGTAAAATCATTTTGAATTGCAGGTGTTAGTCAATGGTGAGCAGGATGCTAGTTGCTTTAAAGATATATAGAGAAGACACTGGAAAGATTGGGGCCTGAAAACGTGCTTGGGATCATGTTTCTTGACCTTCCAGTGGGAACATTTTTTCCATCAGTAGTCCTGAGAGTAAAGGATATGCTTAGGTTTACCTTTGACCTTGTGAGGACTGGCCATCCTATACTGAAATTACTGAGTCTAGAGCCAAGAATCAGTCTTTTTTCAAGGGGTTTTGCCTCATTTTCCTGATGGAATATAGAGATACTAGCAAGTGGAGCCGAAGAGAAAAATGAAATAACTAAGAAAAGAACTTCCATCCCCACCCTGTTCATGCATGTGATTTTCCTCAGCTGAGCTTCCTGTGTACTGCATGCTCTCAGACTGCATCCCAGTACCCCAGCCTGTTCATGTACACTTGCATGAGTCTCCTCTCTGATTCCAGGCCCTCCTCCTTAATCAGATTTCCTTGTTCATGGTACCTGAAGCCTGCTGCTCCCTCTCAGCTCCATGGCCTCCCTGCTTCATGTTAGACCTATGGTTTCACCCCAGACCTCTGGATCCTTGTTTCATTTCCCAGAGAGTACAAGGGCAGTGTTCGTGCTTACCCTCCTGGGAATCCATTCATTTTTCCATGGGACATTGCAGTTTCTCCATAGAAAGAATGAGAGATGATCTGATTCACCTGGAGGCATTAAAAAGTAGATATTTTAGGAAATCTAAGGGCAAGAAAAATAGCCTTCCCTAGGAGCTCTAATGAGTTTCCTGTCCTAGAAATGTTGGATACCCCGCACTCTAAAAGCCACAGACTGTCCTGATGGCTCTAAGGGACTCTCAGCTTCCTTGGCCAATTAGGGTGTATCTGGCAGTAATAACATGACTTTGCCCATTTCTTTCCCAACAGGATTTGAAGGGTGCTCCATGGTGCCTACCATATACCCCCTGGAAACACTGCATAATGCTCTTTCCTTGCGTCAAGTGAGCGAATTCTTGAGCAGAATCTGCCAGCGCCACACAGAGGTCCATGCACAGGCATCTGCAGGTATGGCAAATGCTCTATTTCTGCCTCCATTTCCCTGATTCCTAGAAGTTGAGGAAGCAATGAATTAGCAGAAAGTAGGGCCGGGGAGATAGCTCAGTAGATTAAGGGCCTGCTTGGCAAGTGCAAGGTCCTGAGTTCAATCCCTGGTATCAAAACAAACAAACAAAAACTAATAGGAGTTTCTGTTTATGGGCTGGTGGTATAGCTCAGCAGCATAAGTGCCTGCCTGGCAAGTGCAAGGTCCTGAGTTCAATCCCTGGTATCAAAACAAACAAACAAAAACTAATAGGAGTTTCTGTTTATGGGCTGGTGGTATAGCTCAGCAGCATAAGTGCCTGCCTGGCAAGTGCAAGGTCCTGAATTCAATCCGCGGTAGCAAAACAAACAAACAAAAATTAAATTAAATTTAAAAAGATAACAACAACAAAAAAACCCAGCAGAAAGTAATAAGTAGTTAGGCACTCCATACAGACACAGAAGTAGGCTTTAAAAGTGTGCAGTCACCTACAAAGGCTGACTGACTCTTGTAGAAATACACTCCTTCCTAACGTAGTTTATGTATTTAATATGAGCCCACTAAAAATACAACCTAATTCTGAAATTCTCATTAAAGAACAAATAAGGGTTGGCAAAGAAAATCCTTAAAAGAAGACCAATGAGAGGATACTAGCCTTACCACATCTGAAACTATTCACTTTATTTTATTTTGTTGTCTTTTTGAGACAGGGTCTCACAATGTAGTTCAGGCTGGCCTTGTGCTCACTTTGTAGCCCAGGCTGACCTCACATAGTGATCTTCCTGACTTAGCCTCCCGAGTGTTGGCATTACAGGCGTGAGTCACTGTGCCTGGCCTTGTTTTTATTTTTTGAGATAAGATTTTTTTTTTTTTTTTTTGTTTTAGTACAGGGTCTACAGGGTCTCACTAGATAGATCGGACTTGTAGTAATCCTCCTGTTTCCAGCCTCCCAAGCACTGGGATTACAGGTGCGTGCTGCCATGCCCAGGCTGTATTGCTATCTCAGTGTGCCCCGGAGGCAAGGTCGGAACAGCAGGCCAGGGGATTGAACTCCCAGCCCCTGCATCTGCCTAAGCAGGTGCTTTAATCCACTGAGCTATTTGGCCAGCCTGAGATAGGACCTGACTGTGCATTTCAGGCTGCCCTTAAATTTACTCTGTAGCACAGGCTGGCCTCAACCTCACAGTGACCTTCCTCCCTCAACCTCCTGAGTGCTGGGATTACAGCCCTGTACCACCATGCCCAGCTTTTCTCTTTTTTTACATTATAAGCTATTCTAATAGAATGTCTATAGTGACAAGAGTATAGTATTGGTTAATGAATAAGCAGAGAAACCAAGAAAGTAAAATTAAACATTTTAAAAGAGGTGAAATTAGCATTTCAAAATAGTGGTAAAAGACATCTTCTTAAAAATTAGAATAAAGCCAGCTATGGTAGTGCAGGCCTGTAATCACAGTTATCTGGGAAGCTGAGGCAGGAAAGTCACAGGTCTAAGGCCAGTGTCTCAAAAAAAAAAAAAAAATTAAATGGACTAGGGATGTAGCTCAGTGATCTCTAACTCAGTACTGGAAAACCAAAAGAAGAGTAGGTGCAATTAAATAGTTATTTGACAAAAAAGAAAATTAAATCTTCACTTCACAATATAAATTCTATATAAATCAGATTCCTTT